AACAGAGCTGTTTTATGTGTGGCACATTGGGGGATAGCAAAGTTTGTCGGTAAACAGAAGTTATTGACATATTACTAAATTTACACTTTTTTAAAGAAAACCGGTTTTCTTTCAGAATTATTTCATTTTTATTGAATTAAATGGTATCGAAATTTTATTACATCACTGGTTGATATTTACAGCATACATTGCTTAATATAAAAATATTTCATAATCGTTGCATAAAAATAAAAAAAGCCAGCTGATTCACAGAAGAAAGCATTAATTTATCAGCAGCAATATTATCAAATTTTAAATTCTCGTTTCATGCGTACACGAGTTTGGATCAATGAACTAAACAATGATCCTTTCTTCACTTTATAGTATGAGTTATGAATGCCATAATCGCACAAGTATTTCTGTCCTTGTCACCGAATATACCGAAATGTAGTCTGAACATTTCCAAAACAGATCCAGCTTTAGTTTCATTCTATTAGTCAACTAAATAGAGAACGATTTTTTAATTTTTAACAATTTGTTTTCTTTTTTTCATTTTAGCAATATAATTACAATTCTGAGAATTGGAAATTAATAAACTGGAAGAGAATAAATATATGAATTATTTCCTCTTTATATTATTTTCTGCTTGTCACATCTTCAACTCAAAAACTCATTCAAAGGAATAAAAAATTGATGAAAAATGCAAAAATCTACCATTGCGCCTGATCAATGAGACATTCAATACTGCTTTATTTGAATAATAGCAATTCATCGTACGACGATGTTTTTGTCGATATGATTTTTGTCTTGTTTTTTTTTCCGAATTACAAATGACTTTTTGATGATTTCGACATTTCCTGAACTCTTTCGTCAATCTTTTTTTATGACTTTTTCTCCCGACTTGCGCACATCTTCAAGTAACAGAACTTCTATCTCCTCATAAAGGTAAAGGTAATTCGATATTGGCTTTCTTATTTACTTCAACAGAATTGAAGAAAGTTACTAATGATTAATGCGAACTGTTTCCGATTATTCCTTGTATTTTCAACATTCATTCATATTTCTTTTTATTATTTCGAAATATCTGTGAAGTCTTCAAAATTTTAGTGCTATCTTTTTGATATGTACTTCGATCTTTACCACTTCAATATTTCAATCTTAACTTTTCGAAATTTTAAGTTTACTTGCCGAATTTGAGAAAAAAATTTGGAATGGTTCAATGCTGTCATTTGCGATAAAAATTGAATATTTGCTACTGAAAGGTTTGCTAATTTAACATGCGTTACTTTTTGTCTTATTTAGATTTCATTTTTTCCTATAAACGAATATAGCTTATAACTATGAATTGATTTCCTATAGTTTGATAATCTCCAAATCATCGAAGAATTGTAACATTCTCTATTTTCAATTTGAATGATTTGAAAAGAGCTTTTTAATTCTCTCTCTCTTTCTCTTGTAATTCTAACAAGAGCTTTTTAATTTCTCTTGTAATTCTAACAATGACAAAAAGATTCTTATGTAATTTGATATGAAAGGGCTAAACAAAAATCAATATATTTTGGAGAACTGCCATCCGTACAAAATCAAAAAATTGTATGAACAGAAATTTATTGAAAATGCACCAATAAAACGACAATAGATTGAAATTGAAAGAATTTATTGTGCATCAAATGTTTGAATCAGAAAGTGATCTTAAAAAAGTAATCAGTTATCCTTATGCTATCGAAGTCTGAGAGTAGTGAAATAGCAGTAAAGATATGGCAAAGATTTTTCAATTCTTTTACTAATACGCAGAAGAAAAAAAAAGGCATAAAAAATAATCAACGGGAAAGAGTAATAACTGCACCGGGATATCGCGGTATATGGTATTGGTAGTAGGGATCGAGAACGAGTCTTACTTCACAACTATTCCCAAACAAACATATGATTATTCGAAAGAAAAAAGTCTCTAGAATTCTATCGATATATTTTTTGACTAACTTTTGCTCACTTCTTGTGTTTGAGTTATTCATTCTTTTGAAATTTTTGAATTTAGTTTCAATTTAAATCGCTGAAGGAATAACGAGAGCGAACAATTCCACATATGTTCGCTGTGCTGATCGCAAATATGTTTATCGATGAGATTTGCAAGAATGAAGAATGTACGGTGATACTCGACTCATGCTGAATTGATTTATCACAATCATAAATCATCATTCTTCACCGTCGTCGCTGATTCATTCATTCAATAATCCTTCTTCAAGCCTTTTCCTCTTTTCTCCGCTTTATTTTTTAGTTGGCTATCTGTTTTTGAATTTGCAATTGTAAAATCCCTTTTAATTCAAATCGTTAAAGGAAAAAGGAACTATGAGTTTTTCCTGAAAAATGAAACAATGTCATTGAAGTCCTTTAAACTAAATAATCTTTGATCCAAAATCGATTTGGTTTCATTGTTCTTTGTTGTAAAGTAAAGCATTCCATTTCAGTATTCTGCGATTCATTTTAGTTCTTTAAACATTGATTTAAGCAGTAATTACTTTTATCGCTATTGCATTTATACTGGAAAAAACACACTTTTCAACAAACAATAGTGCTTAGTTACTATTTCAAACAATGTAACCTAAATTTTTCTATTCCATCAAATTTGTAAATCAAAAGCATTTACTTGCTGTTCCGGTTCATCTAAATGCCTAAACATTTTACCGTAAGAGATAAAAAAGGATTTTCCACCACTACCAAAAACATACATCGCGGCATTTTAACGTTTAACATTAGGAGTATCTTTTTTGAGGATGAAAGATATTTGCTTATTTCTTAAAGATTCAGTGTCAATTGAAATAGATTAGTATTTCTGCTTTTGAACTAGTCAAGGCATAAAGCTTATTACAAAAAAAAAAAAAAAAATATACCATACCAGAACAACCTTTAAAGTGGCATCAATCAATCATTATTGCATGACCGTTCATCGCGATTTTAGTTTCCAATTCCATTTTATTGCATTTCTTTTTTGAATTTATAGCTTTATATATTGAGAGGTAATAAGGAAGAGTGAACAAACGAAATATTATTTCAGAAACCTTGAACGGTAATAACAATAAGGAGTAGCAAAAAGTCACTGGCACTTAGTACCTTGTCCTTAATGAGATATTTTCTGCTCATTTCTTACGATTTGTAAATTTTGCTGATATTGCAGTTAATTGCCCTGTCATATTCAAATTACTTATACCTTTGTATTTTAACATCAACCCCAAAAACATCAAAAGATATGATCAGTGAGAGTTTGACCACTGAGTACTACACGAATTTGAACTCTTCTAACTCTCTCTTCCAACCGCTTTATTTTCTTTAACAAACAAAAAGCATTTAACTTCAATATTCAATTAATACTACTTCAAAGTTCCACCAACAATTTTCTTGAAATTGTTATTTCAGATTTACACAGACTTCTTTATTACATCGCAATTTCTTCGTGTAAGGTCAGAATTGCGAATTAGTCATAAGCGTTGAAATGTTTTGTGTCGCGCGTTTTTATTTCATTATGAAACTGAAGAGTTTTGCTTAAGAATATATTCAAAATTTTCAGAGAAATTTTTTGGAAGAAAAATGACAAATCTTTCAATGGTCCTGCTGTTTATTATTACAGCAAATATAAGTCATTGAATTTCTGGTTGACATTGGGTGGACACATGTTGAATGCAAATTCAAATTCTGAACTTTACATTAAGTTTTTTGAAATGCCCAAATTTTTTAGTGACATTGCTAAAAAGCTTGTTTTTATTTCTCAATCTTAGTTTCTATACTTAGTAGTTTACTTTAATAGTAATTTTGCTTACAAGAATTTTCAACTCAAGAAAAACTTTTTTCCTAAGATTTTCCTACTCATCATTAATTGAAAGCGCAATTATTTCCCTGAATTCGAACTATTACCCAATCTTATAAGATCAATCCTGGTTTCGATCTGGTTTTTGTCAGTCAAATACAAAAGGCCTTTTATTAAAAGGTCTTTTAACAGTTTATCATTTGTAGTTTGATTTCTCTGATATTATTAATTTGTTTTTTTTTTTTTCTGTATCAACAACATATACTTATAACCTATAAATTACTTGTTTTTTATATCATTTTCTGCTTGCCACATCTTTAATTCAAAAGCTCATTCAAATTTACAATTGCTTCTAATTAATGTGACACATTCAATATCGCTTTATTTGAATAATAGCAACTCAACGTGCGACTATATTTTTGTTTATTCAACGATAGATTTTTGTTTCTTTTTTCTGAATTCCAAATGATTTTTCAATGTTTTCTACATTTCCCGAAATCATTAGATTGATGTGAACCGATATTAGTAAAGTATAAAAAATAATAATTGGATGAGAAATTATTTTTAATAATACATGCATTGTGCTGTGAAAAAAACTATTTGCAACTGCGAATTCAACTTTCCATCGAACTGGAAATTAAAATGATTTTTGAATAAAACAGCAATAATGACAGAACCTTCTTCTACTCTTAAGTTGATTTACAATTAATAAGCTTCTAAGTTACCTTTAATAATTTATTGAAATATGTTTAGTAATTTGTAGATTAAAAAAATTTGCTGTTTTTCTCCGGCAACAATATTCTTTTATCATAGAAGATCATATACAATTTCCTTCAAGTTGCTTCTTCCCATTTTTTTTCCGGAGTTTTTCAAATTGATCCCTTTCGAATTGATATCTTTAAATGTATCTCAGTAATCTCTTATGTCAGCACATATTAAAACTGATTATTACATATAAAAATCACTTCACGCATTATTCAATTCACATCAGAAATTTGTTCTATTCCATCTATATTGTTCGTTGGAACTACGTTTTAAGTTCTAAATTTCTGAAGCTAAATCAACTTGCTTTCTTTATTACTGCTCTAAGAATGTGTCGCACTTCTAAGCGCAAATAAATGCACTAAATCATTTGTCCTACTTTCTTAATTGCAATTATGTTAATTGCAATTACGATTATTTTCAGACACCGCTATTTTGTATTATATGTCGTCTTACCATGATGCATTATTTTGTTCTCTTTTGTTTGATCAGAGCAACAAGATTTGCTGAAACTTTAGAAAATGGATTAGCAAGGTTTGTTTATTTTGCTCAACAACAATGATAGAATATATATAAGTCAGGTTAGGTCAGGTCGGGTCAGAATCACTCCTTTCTTCCTCTTCCTTCCTGTGCTTAATTCGTGTTTACCGTTTTTTCAATTTCTTTTTTCATTTGTTTCTTTCTATTCAGTATTTCCTCTTTCGACGAAATTGGATGTTCTGAAATTTTTTCCTTTTCAAAATAGTTCTTTGGATATTAAATTTAAATTTAAATGTTTTTCCAAACTCATTTGGAATTCTTCCTATTAGGACACCACCGATGGGATGGATGTCCTGGACGAAATTTTATTGCCAAACGGATTGCGTGCTTCATCCATTCACATGTATCCGTGAAAAGCTTTACATGGACATGGCCGATCGTATGGGTAAGCTAACAAGAAAATTATACAGTTGATATTTCTGTGATATATAAATATTCAACTACCTTTGTAGGTAAGGCAAAAAAAAAAAGAATGAAAAATAGTTCCAAATTAGATACCGAAATTTATATTTAATTTAACTTTCGACTGCTATGATATATATAACATTCATGTGGAATATGATAACATGGAAAGTTAAATTTAGACTGGTGGATCAGCTCTATAATAAATGATAAACTTTCATCCCTAATAAACTTTCGTGTATAAAAATTTTACTGTTATCCAATCTTATTAGAAACGCCATCATCATTTTCTTAAATTATGCAGGAGATTATTTCATTATATGCCATTTCAGTGGAAGATGGTTATCTGCAGGCAGGTTATCAATATGTCCATGTTGATGATTGCTGGATGGAACGGAAGCGAGATCAGCAGGATCGTCTTGTTCCGGATCGACAGCGCTTTCCAAATGGAATGGCTGCACTTGCTGATTATGTCAGTTTGCCTTATAATTGTTCGCTTTTTGAGTATTAAATGTAAAAAATAGAACTATAAGTTGTAGAAGAAACTGAAATTGAAGTTTTAATGAGCAAATTTAGAGAAATGAAAACAGTAAATTTGCATGTTTTGCTTTATAAGTAAGATTTGCCAAAACTTAGATGCACCAGCGTGGCCTGAAATTCGGTATTTATGAAGACTATGGTACGACCACATGTGCTGGCTTTCCGGGCAGTTATAAGCATACAAAAATAGACGCGGATACATTTGCTGAGTGGCAGGTTGATTATCTCAAACTTGATGGTTGTAACATCGATGTCGATTTGATGCCGGCGGGTTAGTGAATTCTAAAAGTTTGACAGAACCCAGGCTATTCCAAATTCTAAATGTAGTTTGTAGTAGTTGGTTTTCGTTCTTTTTTTAATACGAAAAATTTATGTTTCATAAATCTTCATATAAGTGTATTTCTCTGGATCAAATGTTAATATATCCAGTTTGAATAACTGGACAGCTATTGCTGCAGATATTTGAATCATTCTGCTATTCACATAGGCTATGCGGAAATGGGTCAGATGCTCAATTTAACTGGTCGACCCATCGTCTATTCCTGCAGTTGGCCTGCTTACCTCATCAATCAACCGGAAAAGGTTATTTCGGTTTGTGAACATGATGCTAAGATTTTTATTCATTTATGATTTAAGATGAGTTTTCTTTTTTTTTTTTTTTGTTGGAATCTGAGGAACTATGAATTATGTCATCAATCAGTTAGAAAAATAAATCATAGAAAAATCTCTGACAGTTCTCTTTCCTTTTTATATCTAGGTTCTTAATTAAAATGTTCTGTTTGTATCATGGAAGATTCTGATAGAATCGTTAACTAGAGAAAGACAGTATCTGGAAAACCCCGGTACACTTATTTAATCTCGAAATCATCCGAATTGAAACAATGTATTCTGCATAGAAAAAAATGGCAATAAAATAAAATATTGTCATCCTCTTTTGGAAAATTTTAAAAAACAGATGACTGTCAGAATTTCACGATCAGTGCATAAAAGTTCTGCTGAATGACAATAGGCGAGATTCTGATAAAAATTTGGCACACGGGTATTTAATAACTTCCTAAATGATGAAAGCGAATATCCAACTCTCAGCAACCTTCTTGTCAATGGTAAAGCATTCGATGACAAAGGAGGGTGTTGAGCGTTTTGAAGTGATCATTTCTTGATCGATAAAAGACGGAACTTTCCGTAAAATAAGCCGTACGTTAGCTGTTACGATTAGCTGAAGAAGTAATATTAGCACCAGGTGTTATAACTCATTGCCGTGCGAAACAGCATCTACGAGCCAAAAATGATCGGTCTATCATTATGATTGTACAAATATGATCATATTCATTTATAATCGGAAGTCTTCGCTAAAAGTTCTACTAACAATGTTTATATACATATTTTTACTTTTTCTTACATATCCTATAGGCTTTCATTTATCATGTCGATCGGTATCTTCATAAAAATGTTAAAGTTAATAAGTGAATATCTTTTACTGATTCTTTTTCTTTTTGTTCAGGTTAATTATCAACTAATTGGACAGCACTGTAATTTGTGGCGTAATTTTGACGACATAAAGCGTTCCTGGGCTTCCGTGAGAACTATCATTGATTACTACGATCATCACCAAGACAAACACATTCCTGCACAAGGTCCTGGGAGATGGCATGATCCTGATATGGTACGTTCCTCATAAAACTATAAGGGGTGTTAACATTTCAAATCTGATTAACTTGCTCAGTATACAAAACAAATATGGTTACGATTCGATTATAATAAAATAACATATCATTTTAGAAGCTACTGTAATTTCTAAATTTGAAAAATTAATACGAACACATATCAAAATAAAACGAATCCAATTTTCCTTGCGTAGAACCAAAATTAATTTTCCTTTATATTCATATTATCATTCAAATATAAGATCCAAAAAAAAAAAAAAAAGATTCTAGGACAGCTGAAAATGACAGCAAAATTCTTAAACTTTCAGATAATTGTAGGAAATACGGAATTAACCGTGGATCAAGCAAAAGTGCAAATGTCTATTTGGTCAGTTTGGTCTTCACCGCTAATTATGTCCAATGACTTAAGACTAATCGCTCCCGTTTTCCGAGATATTTTATTAAATAGACGAGTTATTGCCGTTGACCAGGATCCACTTGGCATCATGGGACGATTGGTTGCTAATGTTAGTATAATTTATTGAAACATAATTCATGCATGATTCATATCCACAAATTTCTTTCACTTATCTGTCACTCATCCACTTAATTCCATTTTCTCCTTTTTGCATTTTTCAAAATATCAATTTTTTCCACCAAAAGTTTTATGATATAATTTTCCAAGTATCGTTAACATAACATAGATGCTATACAAGTAAGTTTGTCATATAATAATCATAATAATAATAATTAATAATAATTAATAATAATAATAATAATTAATAATAATAAATAATAATAATTAATAATAATAATTAATAATAATAATAGTAAAATCGTATTTATATTTATTATTTTCAGTTAATCTTCAGTTAAGTTAATAATTAAGAAATTATAGAGGATATTTTTTGCTATTTTCTCTTTTATTATAATCAACAATTTTAGACGACCGATACTGGAATTTACGTAAAACCCGTAATTCCAGCGGCACCCTCAGCTCACCGATACTCTTACGCTGTAGCTATTTTCAATCGTAATCTGAATCAAAGGATGGTTTGTTTTCTTTTTTTCCTCTCTCAATAAAAGTTTCATATACTTCTGCACTTCGAAACTGAGGCTTCTATGTGATGCATTTTTTGAGAATCATGACATAATTTGCTTCAGACATAATATACAAGCACTGTTACACATTTCTTGAAATTATCTTTTAGATCTGATTTTTATAAGAGAGGGAGACATTTGATCTTAATGATATATTGGAAGTATTAAATAAAAAAGAAATGAACAAGTATAGCCTACTTTAATCTAACTTTTATTCCCTTTTACTGGGATACCAATTGAGATTCAATATCAACTAAAATTTCTCCAAAAAAATCAAATTTTAATTGCAAAAAGAATTCACGTATATTTTAGAATTACCGTAAAAGCATCAACCCATAATTTGCCTCACTTTCGTGAATTCTTGAATTTAATCTGATTCTTCAGAACTACAACATTTCGCCCGATTTAAATATTTATTGCAGAATGTTCGCTTTCTGCTATCAAAAATTGGACTTACCAACTCTGGTGGTTATTTAGTTCAAGATTTATGGAGCGGTGAACTGAAAGGCCTTCTAAAGCCTAACGATTTTTATTCTGTAGACGTGAATCCCACTGGTATTGATTTTTTCAAAGCAACATTGCCAGATTTGTAGAATGGAGTTTTAATCTAGGTTAGATATGAATAAATAATGAGTCAAGTGTCAATGAGTCAAGTCTCCAATCAATCAAGTGCACTTGAAGTTTCAAATCTGAAACCAAGAACTAAAATATTTTCTCGATCAGGAACTTAAGAAAGTATACAAAACGTTCTATACTTGCACGAATATATGAAAGCGTTTCTTGGATAGGCAAAATATCTTAGATACATTTAATTAAAGATAGATGAAGGGCAGAAGGGAGGACAAAATTGTATGAGAGGCATGCTAATCTCATTTTATATCCTTTCCTCTTCTTCAGCTTCAAAATTCACTTAATGTTAAGACAAAGATTACCTGTACTTTTCCGATGCTCGAAAACAACATTTTGTACTGGTTAATGTTTACATTGTTTTATAATTTTCTTCTATGATTCAGTGAAACTTATTGGTAGAAAGACAGCCACAATTTGTACTAAACAAAATCTTCAGCACTGAATAGTTCATATCAAGAGAGACGATTTCGAAACGAATCAAACCGTTCATCTAAAAATGAAAATGTTTATAATATATAGCAGAAATATTTGCAAATATATTCTACTTAAGTAGTCAATAACGCATATGATCGATTAAAGTTAGAAGCATGAGTGATATCACTGAATCACTCAATTGTCGCAATTAGCAAATGATCAAATCCATATGAATCATCAGTTCGGACCTTCTGTTTCACAGATGGTTTATGCAATGCTTATCTATACGTCACTTAGGATGAAAGAGGTGATGGATGGAATTTGCTGTTAGTGATTTGAAAAATAATGAGTTGAGCGGTTGGATAGGACAGAAATGGACACTAAGGGGAAGAGTAATTATTATATGGTCAGGTGGTCGCGCAAAAAAGAATGTGGTGTAAGGTGAGACAAGAGAGATAGATGGAAGGATCTGTAGTAAAATGAAATTGAGTGTGCTGAGTCCATCGGATTTCGCGTTGAAATAAGTATTTACTGAAGCTAAATTACAGAGAGAACGCTGCGTCAGGAAAGTTCTCACAGCAAGTTTAAATTCAGATGTTACTGACCACATCTCCTAAATACCACATTTTCGCTTATTCGTCAAACACCTGTTAAGTGCTCTGTAGACTTACCTTCGTAATGAACCAAACTTTTGTTAGTTGTTGTAAAATGTTACAACTATTGTCTTATAAAGTAGCCATTGTTCTTAATTCGTTTTTTAGCGACTGTTGAGCAAATAAGAATGTGTAGTCTTCAAACAGTCAGTTTTATCATTCATTTTTGCTTTTGAAAACATTATGTTCAGTGCATTATCTATGGAACTAGTATTTTCATGAACTGTTTCATTTTTATTTCTCAACATAATATCAAAATTAGATCAGTCCTCTATAATTGTTTTGAGCAGGAAAATGTTTTGGTTGACAGCTAGGAACTACCAGTTGTAGAAATTTTATAGCATATCATGCTCGGTTTCTGCACAAAAAGACGCAAATGACATTTTCGTGGAAGCGGATGATCCTGTGTTCAACTTATCATCGATAGTTGTTTCGTGGTAATACTATCTGTGCTGAAAAAGTACAGTCGTTCAAAATGGTATTGCTTCATTCTTGCCAGTTCACTGTATTTTTGTACTGAAAATTTCTTGTCCATAGAATTTCTTTAATTACTATTTAGCATGCATCATTTTATGCTTACAATTAGATTCATGTTTAGAAGGTGGAACTTCCAATTTGGGAAATCATACATCCAAAAATTTGATAATTTACTTGATCAGACGTATCAGGTCTTCGATATTATAAGTGATTGAATCATACATCCAAAAATTTGATAATTTACTTGATCAGACGTATCAGGTCTTCGATATTATAAGTGATTGAACCTCTGTAACTTCATTTTAGGGTTTTTTAGACTGTGAAGGATTTTTGCTCTTAGCAAACTACATAAACGTTCCAATAGTCATATTCAGCCAAAATAAAATTGAATTGCTGAAGCAGAATTCTCTTCTTCGCAATAGAATTCCTTGCTTTTATGATAGGACCGAAAACTCTTTATTCAAAAGTTTTTTTGCAAATAACTGTTGTATGTGTAATAAAATAGTTCTTTATGTAATTTAGTTGCAGAAATTTGGCTATGGGTTTTTATTTTCGTCTCATCATATGATATTTTGAAATTTGAAATTTCCATTTTTCTAATGTTTAGTCACAGTTTTCCCAGTGGACTAGCCAGAGTGAATTTCTTTAGGCTGATTGAAATTAGAGCTCATTTCATCTCTAAAATGTTATCAAATACTTCACTTATTTCAGACCAGATAATGATTCCACTTTTTACCTCAGATCACTCGTGATGGTGTTATTATGTTGCAGAATAATTTATTTCATTTTTTTCCCATAGGATATTTTTATGTATTTCAATTTTTGTCTGTTTTCTAGTACTTTGAATTTTCATTTCGTATTCACCCTAAAATATTCATTTTCGAACTAATTTTAACTACCTTTCTAATTTGTGGAATATGCTACATGCGACAAAGAATTGTTTTATGTGTGAGGATTATAGGTTTTGATTTTAACTCATTTTATTATTTGAACCAAATAAATATGACTGTATATAAATAATTCGGATTGGTGATGTGTGGTGATCGGATTTCGTTGGTATTCAGTCTTCTAATTTGAATAAACGAGTTTAGCATACTATTTCAATTAATCAAATTATATAGAGACGTTTTGCTAATGAATTTGTTGTACTGTTCCCTCTAGTTGTAAGAGTTATCGGAGAACTGTTAAATCTATCTATATATGTGTTCGGTATCCTAATCATAATTACGGAATGGGACCGAGTCCAGTGGAGCAGAATCCGTGGGAACGGCATGACAGTGACAGTGATGGTGAGGATTTTCTATTTGCTATTTGCGATCGGCTATGAATTCAGAAACTTTTTCATTTTTTCGCTTTTAACTTGCATGCAGGGTATGAGAATCTATCATGGATTCCTCTAAGTTTCTTTCTGAGCTAGGGGAAAATATATGCTTCTCTGATTGATTTGCTTTACCCTTACTTCAGTTTCGACTGTTTTGCCTTTGTTCGTCTACTTGCTTATCTTGTAGAAATAATTTGCTAATTGTAAAACAGTGAAGTTAGAGTAAGATTCAACTCCGGAACGTAAATGTGGCACACTTACGTAATTATTAGCGAAATCACATTTTTTAAGGTTGTCAGGATAATAATGATGGTTGGCATATTGGTTACGAAGTTGAAATGCATGGCATTGGTGTGGAAGAATATTCAAGTAGCGGAGGTACATGTGATTTTCATTCTTAAGTGGATTTTCTTGTCGAAAGTTTGTAGAAAGAGTTGCTGTGTGGTTTTATTGTTTGTAAAAAGCAAATCTAAGCCTAAGGATGAACTGAAAAATTGTTGTTGGCTTATTTAAAATAATAATCACAGATCGTAGTTTTGGAATTATTTAGTTTTATTTCTGTTGTCGTTGTTCAGTTAGTGGTAGATGACATTTTTAAATGTAAGATGTAGAAATTTAAAGGGATTCGTGTTCAAATTCAGATTATTGGACTCATTTATTGTATTTCATCGCTGTTTTTATAGACGATATAAGTGATGCGAAATCGGATTCATGCGATGAAAGTTATGGGGATCGTTATGCTGGTTATCAAACTATTCCTACTTCAGATGGCGCATTCGGAACCGCGAATACTATCCATGAACACACCAACGCAGGAGTTCAGGAGGATTTCGGAGAGGTTAGCCTACACTCGTTTTTGCATTTTTACCTTTATTACATTGAAGGATGTAGCATTCCAGAAATTATTTGGTTTTCAGTCGTTATTTGAACAGTATTTTCAGGTTTTGAGTTCAGAACATAAAAATTTGTCCTTTGAATTTGATGTGACACAATCGATTGAATTGACTGAAGGTATATTTTAAGATATTAGTTCTAATGCTAACTGGCGTCCGTTATCAAGCAAAAATGAAAGCAGTCAGATGAATTAAATAGATAATAGGAGTCAGATAAAGAAGCAGCGGATATACAATCGTCGTTATTGTTAACTAGAAGCACCAAAATAACATTAGCCCGATAGATTAAACTAGGGCGATTTGGAACTGCTCTGGTTTTTAACCAGAGTTACGTTTTTTTTTTCATTTTACTTTCATTTTGTCAAAATTACTTTTTTTTCTGATTTCCAGTTCATTTTACTTTCAGATAAAATTGAAAACATTAAGAAGGCGATGTCAGCATTGACTCTTCCTGCTCCACCATGGGCAAAGGAAATTGACAGTGATAATGAATTGAAGAAATTACTAGAAAAACTGAAGTCTAAATAAACAGCATTGTAATCTCAAACTGTCTTTTTGATTTAATATTGACTCTTAGTAGATTCTTGTCACATGTCTGAAAAATCTATATGTTCTGTGTCTGAAATCTATCTTTTGTTTAAGTATAGTTTTGTTATTTCGCTTTTCTTATCTATGATGGGCTTGCATAACAACGAAATTTACTTGCATAATTTAAGTGCATTTTCAAATTTAGACAAAATTTAACTTGAATTTGTTTCGCTTCACAAGCAATTTAAAGAAATGATTTTGTAAATTTCACATAATTTGTTCCATGGTTTGTAATTGGTTTAGTGAATAAAGAACTTTTTTAAAGTTTCATTCAAGTATTGGGCGTCAATTTCAATCAGTAGCTGTTATCCAGATTCAGTTCAGAGTTTCAGGAGGTCGAATAAATTGGAAGTATGCTTTCAGTTGTTAGAATGGTGAAATTTGTGGTACAACGAAGCACTGTAAATGGACGAATCGGAAAAATTTTTTGCTGGGGTAATGTAAAAATAGAGCATGAAACACCATCATGCATGATGTATACACGTGCTGGTCATATTCCTCATTTGACGTGGGATGTAGTTGCTGTACATCTAAAATACCGACAGTCACCTATTTATCAACTGACTCTTCCTTCACTGTAAGTTTTTCTGGTATTGTTTTACGAAACTCTCTTAAAT